CCTCAGAGTCAGGCTTGGAGACACAGCTCAGTAGTAGTGTTTGCCTAGCAGACAGGAGGGTATGAGTTCCACCCTCAGCACCACCAAAAAGAAAAAAAAAAGCATTTAAAAAAGTAGTGGTGGCCAGGTATGGTGGCACAAGCCTGTAATCCCAGCATTGGGGAGGTTGAGCCAGGACAATCACTGTGAGTTCAAGGCAACCTTGGGCTACACTGTGAGTTCAAGGCCAGCCTTAACTGTTTAGAGAGGCTCTGTCTCAAAAAATAAAACAATAAAATTAAATTTAAAAAGTGGTGGCACACACCTATAATGCACTCGGGGAGGCTGAGGCAGGATGATCCAGGACTACCATAGCAAGACCTTGTCTCAAAAAACACAACAAAATCTAGCCAGTTAGAACAGACCCCAGTGCAGTCACTGAAACGCTGGGATAAAAAGCAACAGATGCCGGTTCAAATACTAGCAGGTACCAGGTGGGTGGCAAATTTAACAGAGGGTGACCAGGTATGAGAAAGTACAGTGAAACAGAGAACAGACACTTGGCCTTAAATGAAAGCGACAGTAAAAAGAGGTGAGGACTTCAGCAAACTGGAGTAAACAGGCCTGTCCCTAAGGGGGCTGCCCCTGCTAGGCCCAATGCACTCTGGTCACCTGATTTTCAGAAATCCAAAACCCAGACGTTCCTGTGAACTTTTCCCATTAGTAAATACTGGAATTATAGCCATTCACATAATCAGAATAAAGCCAAGCCAGGCCCCTGATGGACTAATGGAAACTCCAGTTCAGGATGTGTCTCTGATACTCAAACACAAATGCTGATTGAACCTACGGTGTTCGAGGTGCTGGGGTCTGGGGAAAAGAGATGGACAAAACCCTCTGGGAAGCTGGGTGTGGTGCTGCATGCCTCTGATCCCAGCCCTAGGGAGGCTGATGCAGGAGGATCGCCATGAGTTCAAGGCCAGCCTGGGCTACATAGTGAGACCCTGTCTCAAAAAAAAAAGACCCCATGGGTAACCCTGCAAGACAAAATATAAGCAGCCCAATGGAAGCTGGAGGGCCCTAAGTCACCCCCAACAAGTGACATTTCACCCAGACTATCTCTTCAGAGAGGCTTCAGCGAGGTTTGCAAGCCATCCCAGAGCTTTAGGACATTCATTCATTCAACAAGTGTTTACTGAGTGCCAGGTACTCTCCTAGTTGTTGAGATTACAGCTGTAAACAGGCAAAATCCTTGTCCCTGCAGAGCTGACCTTTTGGTGGAAATTTACAGTAAGCACTATAAACAAGTAGAACACTGCATAGCCAAGGAAGCAGTAAGAGATATGGGGTGTGAAGCAGAGAACTGTGCACGCAGGGGAAGGGGAAGGGGGTCACAGAAAGCTGCCTGAGGTGACAGCCCAACAAGATAAGGAGGTGAGAGAACACTCCAAGCAGTAGAGGCAGCAAGTGCAAAGGCCCTGAGGCAGGAGCAGGCCTGGCAGTGGTGTGGCTGGAGTGGAGTGAGACAGAAACAGCAAGGGATGAGGTTCTGGCTTCTACCCTGAGGACAAGAGAGGAGCAACTACCTGGTTCTAAGCAGAACAGGGGCAGGATCGCATGTGTATCTAACAGGGTCCCTCTGGCAGCTGGGCTGAGACCAAGTTGCAGAGGTCAGGTGGAGTTAGGTCAGCATTGGCAAGGTGAGCACTCAAATCCAGGCACTAGCTGCTGGGAGGCCATGGGAAGCAGGCAGATTTGGATACATTTTGAAGGACCTGGCAACAGGATTTGCTGATGGTTCTGATACGGGGTGGGAAGGGGAAGGCGGCAAGGACACTGCTTTTGTCCTCTGTGAGGGCAGCACTGCCTACCCTGAGGCAGGAGGGCTGGGGGAGTCCGAGCTCCTCTGGGACCTGGTAAGGGGGAGGCACCTCTGAGTCACCAGGGGGAGAGATTTGCTCCCTAAGTTTAGTCCACAGCAGACAGGCATTTTGTCCCCCACCACCATGTTCTAAGACCAGGCACCTCCAAAACCATCACAAAGACGCCAGGCAGCTCAGGACCTGACCCCTTGAGAGAGTCTCAGCCAGACCCGCGAGCTGTGGCTCCCTCCGAGAAAGGCCTAATCTGCTCATGCATTGTTCTCTCCAAGGCCAAAGAGGCTCCTCCTCCAAGAGCTGTTTACGTCGTCAGGACCTCAGGCCTGGTCCAGCCACCACTCAGGTTCAACATCCACCCAGAGAAGTGGGTGTCAGGGAGGCTAAACTGCAACAGCGCTCGCCAAGGAGCCTCTCGCTCTGCCTCAACTCACCACTCCATTCATTATAGGGACTGCATTATCCCACATGGGGAAACTGAGGCTGCAGAGGCAAAGTAAAGTAACTTGCCTCAGCTGCAGGGCCAGGATGTGGACCCAAGGAATATGAGCACTTGCTCTGCCCAACCACACTATACTGCTGAGTTGTCTTCTCGACCTTTCCATATTTGCCGATTTTTCTACCGGGGCATGACACATTACCACACATTGCTTTTTAAAAAACTGACTGGCAAGGGGTGCCCCAGACCCATTTTCCTGACCATCGTTCAAACATCGGCCACAAAAAGCGCCCCTCCTACCCACTCCAGAGCCCCCACGGTCACACTTATGAACGAAGACGGCCAAGTACCAGGAACTCAGCCCCCGTTTTGCATTTAGGTAACAAAGTTCCTGTTTCCTCCTCCCAGTGCATCTGCCTGGGGGAGGCGGCAGTCAAGACCTTAGCACCAAGGCGTTTCCCCCTCCCGGTTTTCCTGGGGGCCAGAGGCAGAGAGGACACCAGCCGGGAACAAGGCTCCAGAGCAGGGGTGGAGAACCTAAAGCACTGGGGCCACAGCCAGCTGTGTGTTATCACTGAAAGCCTAAAAGGTTCTCCATTGCTGCCCTAGAGGGTCACACGTGGGCCAGCAACCTTGATTGCAAGAGGAACCAATCAGGAGTAGCTACATGGACTTCACAGGCCAAATCCACCCCTGCAAGCAACAGAAAAAGTGAGTCCAGGGAAGGCAAAGAACTGGAACAGAAAGGTTCATCTTTGGAAAGAATGATGATAACTGCTGTTTATCTCTGTGCCAGGCACAGGCTGAGCCGCTCCCTGATTCACAACTCCAGGAGGCTAGGGCAGTGTAGCTCCTGTCCCCACTTTACAGATGGGGACACTGAAGGACGGAGGCAGCATGGCTTGCCCAAGAACACACAGTCATCAGACTGGCTGAGACCCGGCTCTCCTTGCCAGGAGCCACCAGCATTATGCTGCATCTGCACTCTCCTGCTATGTGGAGGCTCTGTGCACCAGCTAGCCACTCACAAATTCTGGTCTCAGGGCACCTCCCAAAACTGGGGCATCCAGCAGGTCTAGAAATCCAGGGGAGGAGAGGTAGAAGAATCCTACAAGGCCACAACTGAGGGCGGCATGGGGACCCGCCCAAGGTGAAGACTAACCACCAAGCGCAACTCAGGCATCTCATACCTGCTGCAGCAAAAGGGCCTTGGGAGAGAAATACACAACCTGTTTCTGGGATGGACTATTTAGCTAAATCAAGAGGAGAGAGGATACCTTAAACGTAATTCACCTGTCATCCCAGCCTGGAGCCATCAGTCAAATACATCCTGATACAAAATCTAACTTAGGGTCACGTACACTTCCCCTTACCTTAGCAGAAGAAAATAAACAAGAAACTACCCCAGAATTCATGAAGCACTAAGCCAGATCCTCATGTGGACCTTCCAGAAATAATCTTGCTGTTGGTACACCTAGTACAGGGCTCAGGGGACCCAAAGTCGCTCCTAATCCAATTGCTAATAGGCTCCAATCACTCTCAGACCCTGAATGCAAAGTACCTGTGCTATTTCAAGCCCCAGGGTAAATCTCCAACTCCACTGGCTTAAAAGTGAGAGTACCAAAGTGTGCTGTTGGGTTGTTCCACCAAAATGACACTCTCTAACAAGAAAGCCAGCCACCCAGGGCCCTTGAAAGTGACTTTTCAACACTGGGGAAAGGACCATAACACAGGACAAGAAGGTATTTCTGGATGCTAATCACCAGCTCCTGAAAACCCAGGGTGTTTTTCCTGTTTCCTAAACGAAAAGCAAAACAACTGTGTCCAGGTTTGCCTGCGATGTTTACCAATAATCCCAACAGCGTGACACAGAAGTGGCCTCCTATACGAGGGGCAAATCGCATTACAGAGACACTGGGGATTAGAGCACAGAAAGTGAACTCTGGAGGCCTGGCTGGCCTGAGCACTCCACGTTTCAGAGGAAAACCCCACGGCAGTGCCAGAGGAGCCTCACCACCTTACCGGGAAGGCACAGCCACAGGTACCAGGCTGCACTGGAGGCTCAGGTGGAACAGGCCTGGACATTCCTGCTCCTCTGGCTTCCCCACCCCACCCCGCACACATAGCATTTAGGCAGAAAGGAAGGAAAAGATGACAAAAATATGTAACCACAGACAGTAATGGGGATGTAAAACAACGGGGCAAAGCCCGGTCCAATCAGCGTGAAGCCCCTTTCTACAATCTGGGACCGTCCTTCCCCAGCTCACCGGTTAGTAACGGGGTGTCTTTGGTGAAAAGGGGGTCCCAACACTTTAAAAAGACGGGTGAACGGGAGGCAGAGAGCCAGGGCTCCCCGGACTCCGTCTCCATGGCTCCCTTTCCTACGAAGTGAGGAACTGCAGAGAACCCCACAGCAGAGAGTCCCCTTAGCTCTCCCAAAGCCCTGAGTCTGGCACAAGCCCTCCTCACCGCCACCGCCACCCCGCCATGCCCTGCCTGCCAGGACCCGCGTCGCCCGAGCCCCCCCCACCCGCCACCGGCTGCACTGGGGGGAGGACCCCGGCGGCTGCCCGGCGGCTGCCCGGCGGCGACCTGCGGTCCCCGGGGGCCGGACGGCGAAGGGCCCGCGCCTCCCCGCGCCGCCGGCCTCTAAGCAGCGGCCTCCCTGCCCGAGCCCCGCGCGTTCGCGCGTCCCCTGCGCGTACCCAGAAGGAGTCGGAGCCCTCCGCGCTGCAGAAGCCGCGGAGCGCCATGCGGACGGCGGCGAGGGTCGGCGGTGAGGCTCGGCAGCAGGCAGACCGGCCCGGCGCGGGCGGCAGCGGTGGCGGAGGAGTCGAGCGGGGCCGCAACGCCGCCGGGTTGGCTGGCGTCACCGGGATGCGAGCGGAGCCCCGCCCCGCCCCGCCCCGCCTCCCCTCGCCTCCCCTCGCCCCGCCCAGCAGCACGGGTCGCCTAGTGGCAAGGCGTGGGCAGCGTGCGGACCCCTTGACACCCAACCTGCAGGCCTGCGTCCTCCAGCGCCCGAGCCCACCCCTTTTCCCACAGCCCCGGGGCATTTTGGTACCCCTGAAGGCCTGCCCAGGGCCTTGGCAGGAGCTTCTGAGTCTTGATACAAGGGCAGCAATCATAACCTGGAGAAACACCTCTGCGAGTCTGCACAGTGCCAGAACCCATGGCTGTGTCCTCGCTATTACTACTTCCTCTTGGTGCAGGAGCAAAACCAGGGCCACAGAAGTTGAGTGACATTTGCCAGGGTCACCTGGCTCTCAACTGGCGGGCAGGGATTTGAACCCAGGCAGTTGCCTCCAAAATCGATAGAAACAGGAAGTGGAGTCTCTGAAGAATCTACCCTTTCTAGATGGGGAAACTGAGGCTCAGAGAAGAAACTTGCTGAAGCACTCAGTAAGCAAGGAATGGAGGTGGGGTTCAAACTCAGACCAGTCTGGCCCAGAGCAGCTTGGCTCTGGGGCTATCTCTGGCCCACACACCTGTGCCCTCACCCCACCCCCGCGTGTGTGCAAAGCACCCTCACTGCTTCTGGCCCCCTGAGCACCACCCAGGAAATAAGCAGATGGTCGATCTTCATCTCAAAGGCAAAGAAGCAAGTCCAGAGACACACTGGCAGTTAACAGGCATCCATGGTGCCAGCTTCCTAGGGCTGTGTGCTTAGCCATTGACATGAGTTAACCTGTATCGTTTGCATAACAGCCAGGAGGGAAGTGATATTGTTGTCCTCATTCTGCAGAGGAGAAGCCTGTGGCCCTGAGCGGCAGAGTACTTTATCTGGGGCTCTTCCTATGATAAGTGACTCAACCCAACTTTGAGCCCAGGTGGTCTGGTTGGGGACAAGGATAAAACAGCCACTGATGGTCACCATTGTGCTGTGTTGTCGCAGGCAGCCAGACGGGGGCACACCTGCTATACCACCACTGCGGGAGGCTGAGACCGAAGGATTGTAAATTTGAGCCCGTCCTGTGCAATTTAGGGAACCCTGTCTCAAAATTTTAAATGTTAAAGAGCCAGTATGGAGGTAGCTCCGTGTGAAGGCTCTGGGTTCAAACCTGTAAGAAAAAAAATTTTTAAATGAAAAAAGCAGTTAGAGACGGGCTGGGGCTGGGGCCAGGGATTTTAAGCTTTCTCTGTGATTCCAGCAATACCTTTCCCCTGTCCACTCCTCCGTAGTTCCCAGACTGCTGTGTGGTTCCCATTACACACGCACACGCAAAACAGGTGCAGCAAGTAAAACAGGAGCTGAGTTTGAATTTGAGACCCGTCTTCCTTCAGAATGATTGGGGGAGGAAGGAGGGAGATGGCATCTCCAGTGATTTGTTTTTATTGGCCAGGTCCCCTCAGGGGGAGTGAATTATTACAGAATAATTACTTTCAGGTGATAATGCTGGCTGTGCTATCACTTAGTAAATACTTACGGAACATCTACTGTATGCCAGCTGTCTGACGACAGACAGACTTGGTTTTTGCACCTGGTATCACCACAGATCAAAGCCAGGGTCTTGAACACACTAGGTAAGCACTCTGCCCCAGGACTATCTCCTCGGCCCCTCAACTCTGAAGTGATTTTAAAGAGCTGGGTTGTTCATCTTTAGGTGCATTGATGGTAAGGCAATGGATATTAATCAAATACGTGCATAAATAAAAGTGTGTTGCCAGGATGGTAAGGCCCGGGAAGAAAAAGTGAGCATAACAGGCCTAAAGGGCCCTGGCCCTGGGCGTGGGTGGATGTCAGGAAAGCTTCCTGCAGGAAGGGCTTTCAGCTGAGTCCAGGCAGTGAGTCAGGCTCCAGGCTGAAGGAAGCAGCTTAGAGAAAACTCTTGAGGCAGAGGAGCTCTTTGCGGGGACCTGAAGACCTGTGTGGCTCAAAATCAGAATACTGCTCACCACCGGCAGATACTGAGCAGGAAAGGGAGCAAGAGAACTCGCCAGGGGCATGGAAATGGTCCATGGAGCTCCAGGGAGGGAGGCAGAAGGGCCCCATGTGACAGAGGAGGGCGACAGCAAGGGCAGAGCAAGTAGGATGGTGGTGGCCAAGGGCGGGGCAGTGGGGAGCCGCAGGTGGATTTTAGGCAGAACAACAGACAGATTGGTTTCCTTCTCGTCCTCTTTAATCATTCATTCTTTCAACAATTTGTTAAAATAAATTTTATTTTATTTTATCCCGTTCCCCCCTCAAGCCCCCTCCCCTCCCTATGTACAAAAGCTTTGTTTCCATTTTTTCCTATTTTTACCTTCCTTCCTTTCTCTCTCCCTCCTCCCTTGTTCCCCTTCCCATTTGAACACTTTCTTCCCATTTCCCAGCATCCATTATACATCTCAGTCCTCATTTCCACATTTAGTTTCTCACACCAGAGAAACAATGCGGAATTCACACGTTTGTCCGATGGATTTCACTTAAGAGTATGGTCTCAAAGTCCATCCATTTAGCTATAAATGTGTGCGGCTCATCCTTCTTTATGGCAGAGAAGTACTCCATTGTATAAAAACAGATCTTTTTTATCTACTCATCAGCTGATAGGCATTTGGGCTGTTTCCAAGATTTAGCTATTACAAACTGTGCTGCTATAAACATGGGTGTGCATATATCACTGTGGTAGGATGTTTTTAATTCTTTCGGGAAGATGCCAAGAAGAGATATAGCTGGGTTAAAAGGAACGTCTAGTTTTAGTTCTTTGAGAAATCTCCACAATAGGGCCGGGGATTTAGCTCAGTGGTTCTGGCACCTGCCTCGAAAGTGCAAGGTCCCGAGTTCAATTCCCAGTACCAAAAAAAAAAAAGAGAGAAATCTCCACAATGATTTCCACAGTGGTTCCACCACTCTACACTCCCACCAACAGTGGAAAAGATTCCTTTTTCCTCCAAAGCCCCTCCAGTATTTGTTAGTGGTTGATTGTTTTGATAGCAGCCATTCTTTCTGGAGTGAGATGGAATCTCAGCGTTGTTTTAATTCGCATCTCTCCAATGACCAATGATGTTGAACATTTTTTCATATATTTAATTGCCATTTCTAATTCTTCGTTTGAGAAGTGTCTTTTTATTTCAGATGCCCACTTTTTGCATTGGGTCTTTAAATTTGGAGGGGTTGATTTTCTTGACTCCTTTATATATTCTAGATAATAGTCCTTTATCTGAATAGCTGGTAAAAATTTTTTCCCACTTTGTGGGTTGTCTCTTTGCTCTATTGCTGGTTTCTCTTGCTGTGCAGAAGCTTTTTAATAAGATGAGGTCCCAGTTGTTGATTCTTTGTAATATTTCTCCTGTGGTCTCAGTTTTTTTCATGAATTCTTTGCCTACTCCTATGTCCTCAAATGTTCTACCTATTCTCTCCTCCAGCAGATTTAGTGTTTCTGTTTTAATATTTAGATCTTTGATCCATTTTGATTGTAAATTAGTACATAGTGAAAGATATGGGTCTAATTTCAATCTTTGGCATGTGGAAAGCCAGTTTTTCTAGTACCATTTATCAAAGAGGCTCTCTTTCTTTCAGTGAAATTGTTTGGCTCCTATGCCAAAGATAAGGTGGTTGAGTATTCTGGAGTTGTTTCTGCATCCTCTAGTCTGTTCCATTGATTCTCAGGTCTCTTCTTTTACCAGTACCATGCTGTTTTTATCACCATAGCTTTGTAGTATAATTTAAAGTCAGGGATTGTGATACCTCCTGCTTTGCCTTTGTTCCCAGAATTGTCTTTGCTATTCTAGATCTCTTCTGGTTGCAAATGAATTTTAGGATTTTTTTTTTCTAATTCTGTGAGATATGTTGTTGGGATTTTGATTGGAATTGCATTAAAACTGTATAATAATTTTGGAAGTATGGTCATTTTCACTATATTTGTTCTTCCTACCGAAGAGCAAGGAATGTCTTTCCATTTTCTGATATCCTCTTCAATCTCCTTTTTTAGAGTACTGTAGTTTTCAATGTAGAGGTCTTTTATTTCCTTTGTTAGATTGATTCCTAGGTATTTCATTTTTTTGGATGCTACTGTGAAAGGGATTGTTTTTCTCTCTCTCCATGAGTCTGTTATTTGTACACAGGACTTTTTTTTTGGTACTGGGAATCGAATTTGGGACCTTGCACTTGTAAGGTTGGCGGCGGAACCACTGAGCTAAATCCCCAGCCCCTGGCTATTGACTTTTGAGTATTGACTTTGTATCCAGCTACACCACTGGACTTGGTTATCATGTCATCTGCAAATAATGATAATTTAGCTTTTTCCTTTCCTATCCTTATTCCTTGTATTTCTTTCTTTTGTCTAATTGCTCTAGCTAATGTTTCCAGAACTATACTGAACAAGAGTGGTGACAGTGGACATCCTTGTCTTGTTCCTGATTTTAGAATGAAAGCTTTCGGGTTTTGTCCATTTAATATGGTGTTGGCTGTTGGTTTGTCATAGATGGCTTTTATTGGATTGAGATAATGTCCACCTATACCAATCTTCTGTAGGGTTTTTATCATGAATGAGTGTTGGACCTTGTCAAATGCTTTTCCTGCATCTATTGAGAGGATCATATAGTTTTTGTCCTTGGCTCTGTTAACATAGCATACTGCATTTATTGATTTGCATATGTTGAACCATCCCTGCATCCCTGGGATGAATCCTACTTGGTCATGGCGTATAACCTGCTTGATGATTTTCTGCATTCTGTTTGCCAGTATCTTATTGAGGATTTTTGCATCTATGTTCATTAGGGAGATTGGCCTGTAATTCTCCTTTTTGGTTGGATCCTTCTCTGATTTTGGAATCAGGCTAATGCTTGCTTCCAGGAATGAATTTGGGAGT